TATTACTCTCTCATACATAAAAATACACTATAGAAGCGTTTAAAAGTTTTAACATTCAGTATTTCTCTATTTAATAAACGCTAATTAGTTATAGAAAAATATTACATCTAGTGTTTAAGTATTAATACAACTGCATATCTTTGCATATTTCCAGCAACAGATGTAGCAAAAATTATATTATTAAGATAATTAAACTTTTTACAATTTCTTCTATTAGATTTTCTCGAGTGTAAAAGAAATTAGTCATATATTTATCTTCATTTTATCATAAGTTTATTCCTCGCCATAGTACATTCTCGTCTAAACAACAGAAAATCATAAATCAACTTCATTTGAAAATAAAAAGAGAATACTAAATGCAATGTACGTACTCGCGCACAGTTAATTGTGAACCTATTTACAATCAAAATATCCTGAAGGCTGCCTTTATTTATTTCGTAGGTAAGAGAACTCATAATTGATTGTTTTTACTCTATTGAAGCGTGTACCTAACTACATTTGACCACCTGGAAATTTATAATTATTATGAAAATTAATGTTAATGTTCTACAAGCGAATATATTTGCATTTATGAATTGCTAACTGGTAAATTTGTAAAATACCAACACTACAAGGTAGACAACAACCGACGACAGGGTCGACTCGACATGTAATATGTAATATATATATATATATATATATATATATATATATATATATATATATATATATATATATATATCTTCTTCTAGTTCCATGACCGTTATCGATCGTTGGATATTTATTGACAGCAGCTCTAAATAACGATGTAGTTGATTTTCCATACCATTGCCTTAGATTTTTCAGCCATGATGTTCTTCTTCTACCAGGACCACGATTACCTTGGATCTTTCCCTGAATGATCAGATGTAAAAGATCATATTTTTCAGGGTGTCTCATAATATGACCGAAGTATTCCAGCTTGCGTTTCTTTATTATATTGACCAGTTGTGTTGTTTGGTTCAGCCGTCTAAGGACCTCCTCATTTCTAACTCTGTCGACCCAGCTTATTTTCAGTAGTCGTCTGTATACCCACATCTCAAAGGCTGTCAAGCGTTTAAGCATAGCCTCAGTTAGGGTCCACGCTTCTACTTCATACAGCAGGACAGGAAAGATGTAGCAAGATATCATACGAACTCTAAGGTCAATGCTAAGATCTTGACTGCAAAGTCTGTTTCTCATTTTTACAAAGGCAGCTCGGGCTTGTTCTATTCGGCTTTTAATTTCTGCGGTTGGATCAAAGCTCTCATTGATATTACTGCCGAGATACACGAGTTTCTCTACTCTGTCCAGTGTGGCATCTCCGACTTTTATACCCTCATCATGTGTATAATTTTGTTTGCTAACTGTCATATATTTAGTTTTCTTAACGTTGAGTTTTAATCCATACTGATCACAAGTCTGTTTTATTTTGTTCATTAGATTTTGAAGGTCTTCTCCGCAATTGGCAAGGACTAAGGTATCGTCGGCATATCTAATATTGTTGACGGTTACTCCATTCACAATAATACCTTCGGTTGTCTCCATTAAGGCTTCCTTAAATATTTCCTCCGAATATAAGTTAAAAAGTAAAGGCGACAATATACAGCCTTGTCTCACTCCTCTTTTTATATTTATTTCATCCGACAGTTCTTGTTCAACCTTTATTCTTGCCACTTGACGCCAGTATAGATTTGTAATTATTCGTAGATCTTTATCGTTCAATCCAGCTGTTTCCAATATTTCTAGCATTTTGTTATGTCGGACTTTGTCAAAAGCTTTTTCAAAATCGATTGCACAAATATACACATTTTGATTTATATCTCTGCATCTCTGTACTAGCACCTGTATACTAAACAAGGCTTCTCTTGTACCCAAGCCACTCCTAAACCCAAATTGAGTATTGCTAATTCTGTCCTCTAACAGCGTATAAATTCTGCTGTGTATTACTCGCAGAAAGATTTTCAAAACGTGACTCATCAGACTTATTGTCCGATAATCACCGCATGTCTTTGGACGATGTTTCTTAGGTATTGTGACAAATGTCGACTTTAACCAATCAGTTGGTAATATCCCAGTGTCATAAATTCTGTTAAAGAGATGACACAGAGCTTTAATTCCATTTTCTCCCAAAAACTTTAGTATTTCAGCACTTACTTCATCGGGGCCAAGTGCTTTTCCATTTTTTGCCGTTTGTATTGAACGTCTTACCTCACTTTCTGTTATAGATGGACCTGATATAGCAATCGGTGTATAGTGTTCTACTCTCTCATCTTCAAATAATTCAGAAATGTAGTTTTCCCATTCTTTTAACTTTTCATTGATGTCTAATATTCTGTGTCCGTTTCTGTCTTCTAAACTTTGGGATACTTGTTTCCATTTGTTTCCAGCGTTCTTTCAATTTCTTGTGCAGATGAAATGTATCGTGTTTCTTTTCATAATGTTCAATTTCATTACATTCTTTACTATGAAATTGTGTTTTCGCGTGTCTTATCTTCTGCCTGATTATTGCGTGGATCCTCTTGTATTCGTTTTTATCTTTATTTCTGACTTCTCTTCTTTGATTCATAAGTCTCAGTATTTCTTCTGTCATCCACCCTTGTTTTTTCTTGCTTTTAGCGCACTCAATTTTGTTTCTTGAACAGTCTTTAAGATGTCTTTAATTCTCGTCCAGTTTTCCTCAGTACTTTCTTCTTTGCTTGATGTTAACTTCATCTTTTGTTCTAATATACTAGTTATCTCTTGTTTTACAGTATCATTTAGCATCGTTTCTCTATAAATAGTAACTGTTTGCTTAATAGTCCTTGCAACTCTTTTTAATCTCAGTCTTATTTTTCCTACTAAAATATTGTGATCTGTTGGTACATCTGCCCCTGGATATGTTTTTACTGATAATACTGAATTTCTGTATCTCTTATTTATACACATGAAGTCTATTTGGTTACGAAAAACTCGTTCAGGTGTATCTGCTGGTGATTTCCAGGTGTAAAGACGACGTTTTGGAAGTTTGAAAATTGTGTTCATTATTACTAATTGCTTTTCTACGCAAAAAGATGCCAACATATCTCCTCTTTCATTTCGTATTCCCAGACCATATTTCCCTATGACATCTTCCTGTTCACCTTCACCAATCTTTGCATTAAAATCTCCCATGATAATATTGAGATCGTGTTTCTTTGTAGGTGCTAATACTTTTTCTAAATCATGATAGATTTTGTCAATTTCTTCTTGTTCATAGTCTTGTGTGGGTGCATATACTTGTAATATATTCACATTGATTGTTGTTGATTGTATTTGTATCATCAGTATCCTGTCTGAGAATAGGACGACGTTTTTTACAGCTTCATCTGTTTCCTTCGACACAATTATTGCTACACCATTTTTGTGTTTTGAGCTGTCTTCTCCTGAATAGTATACAATGTGGTCATCTACAGTTACTTTTCCAGACTCCGGCCATCTCATTTCACTTATTCCAAGGATACTTATATTTAGACGCTTCATTTCTTTAATGGTGTTATGAATTTTTCCTGGTTCGTACATGCTTCTTACATTCGATGTACCTATTTTTCTTTCTTTAGAAAATGTGTTCATGTTTCCAGGTGACCGGAAATTCTTAGCACCCATATATATATACATACATACATATATATATATATATATATATATATATATATATATATATATATATATATATATTATATATATATATATATATATAACGGAGCTTTGAGGTTTATTGGGATATGCAGCGGTGAAATAAGTGTAACCCTTTTAAATAGGTTTCAAGCTTCAAGCTTTCAAAAATGTTTATTTTCATCATCAGGAAAAACTGAAATAAAGTGCGACTGTTAGTAAAGCATCCTCGAAACCTATAAAGAGTGTAAAGGTTGTAAAAACTTACGTTATTGAGATTTGTCTTTCGTGGATGTTCTACTCATAGGTGACAAATTCACGCACCACTCATTGATTGAGTCAATTATTAAAAATATAAAAATATCATGGTGTAAAAGACCAAACGAAAAAGACAATTCCAATCAGTTTAAAAAGCCACGTGTGCCGGCCAACTGTGGATGATGGAGACTGAAAACACCAGTAGGGAGAAGGTCAAAGGGAAGACCCAAACTTAGATACATAGAACAAGTAGAACAAAATCTGAAAACATTTAAGATTACCAACTGGAAAAACAAAGCAAGGAACAGAACAGAATGGCGGAAAATCCTAGAACAAGCCAGGACCCAGAAAGGGTTATCGAGTTACTGATGATGATGATGTCTCAATATTGCAGGCATAAACTCTCACATCATATATAAAGGTAATTCAAATGAAAATGACCTAATTTCGAAACGAAGATTGTTTCTGAAGTCAACTGGTTTAGCCTTGAAAAGAGAGAACATGCTAACCAGAGCAAGAGACTCTTATTTACAAAAGGATATCAGAAGTATCGCCCAAAATTAAGCGGAGTACATGCAGATCCAGTGCCTCCACGTCCAAATACACGAGCTCGTTGCGCCTATTGTCCAAATAGTGAAACACGATATTTTGTGTTAAATGCCAAAAATGGCTATGCTTAGAGCATGTTAAACCGATTTGAGAAGACTTCAATGGAAATTTTGTTCCCACCCCACTTGACTGTTCATGTAATTTGTAAGTAAAGATAGTTCAAACACTCCTGACCATGGAGCTGCGCGAAGGCGGAGTCAAATTCACGTAAAGGCAGAAATGTTCTATTGTAAGTGGAATTATACAGTGCATAGTACAATGCGTTTTGCATGGAAGTGGGGACTAAACCAAATTTCGTCTACTGCGCCGTGGTCAGTAGTGCTTGCACTATCTCTACCTGATTACTCAATGGTTAAGCCATTGATGCATATACCATCAACACCATTTATTTTAAGAAATGACTAATTTTAATTTTTTGTAACCATACATGACGACAGACTGATTAGCAATGTGTTTTGGGAAAGACCAGATGGTAAAAGATCGACAGGAAGGCCTAGAAAAAGGTGGAAAGACGCAGTCAGGGAAGACCTGGAGAAGATGGAAGTAAGGCCATGGGAAATAATAGCACAGGATCGGAATCAATGGAAGGCAATAGTAAACGCGGCAAAAACTCACGAAGAGTTGTAAAAGCCAATGATGATGATGATGATACATGAGTGTTACTTTAGTGTTTTTTCATAAAAAAATATATTGTTTTTCATATTTAAGTTTTTTTTCTTTCCTAGAAATGGGAAACGTAAAACGCAACGATAACATAACTTCCGAACCATATTCATGAATCGTTCCATCGGACTCTAGTTCATTGTTGTATGCAGATTTGTTCATTTAAGATCTTTTCTCTATCTTATCTTCAATTTCTCTATCTTATCTTCTTCGTATTTTACTGTAATCGTTTATATAATCGTATGTATAGAATGACAACCATAGAACTGTTAAAAAAGGTGGGGCTGAATGAGAGAGATACTCGAAATATTAGATGTTATATGCATATACTTACACAACAATTTTCTATGAGAACATGATACTTGTCGAAGAAGAAGAGGATTTCAATTATGTCTAGAAATACTTCCCAGACGAGTCATTGAGATTTTAATTTTCATATTTCTTGAAATCATGTTTATATGTAGATGTAGTTAAATATAAAAAACTATTATTTATTTTTAGATTATTTAATTCAATGTATTTCTTTCTATATTTTGTAAAAGCAAAAATTAGATCATTACTGAATGGAAATTAAATCATGTCAATTTAGAGACATTCTCAGTTTTACTAGTAAACCAAACACCTAGCGAAATAGCAGAGTAAATGAAGGGTGAGGGCCATAATGCAATAATGTCCTTTTCTTTGCGGTTCTAATAGATCGTTTCACCGAAAAAGTAATAAAGTGATCATGTCACATGTCATAGTCGGAACCGACCTTATTTGTCAAAGGGACTAAAGCACGAGCCTTTTGAAGTGTATTATGTTGACAGTGGACGCGTGTATATGCGTACAGTCAAAAACCGCTGAATTATATTGAAGAGGGTGCGGGTGGTGGTTAAAGGGTCGCATATCATTGACAACGTCTCTTGATAATATCCGGTTGCTGTGATCCATGTACAAAGTGAAGGTGCAATATACGAAATTTAATTTTTTGTGCTGAAATAGGTATTCGGAGTAAGGTAAACAAAAACAATGCCATTATACTGTGAAAATAATCTTTTAAACAAAATAGAGCAATTATTGGGAAAAATATAATATTTTACTAAGTAGTAGCAATTATTGGGAAAAATATAATATTTTACTAAGTAGTTGATTTTATTGTTGTATTCGTTTCTCTGCTTCTTATAGTCTGTCTCGGGTCTCAAAATCTCCTATTCACTTTTTGATAAGACAGATACAGTTAACCCTTTCAATCCCAGACGAAATTATAATTTGTCGGCCTTTAAATCCCACCGGTACAGGTAAGTCCACTTACTACCCCAGCAGTACATCGAAGTCTAGCCTTGAACAACGCGATTTCATTGGTTGTAATTAGGGTAAGTCCGGGAGAGTTGAACCACATTTCTTTGGATGCTCACTAGAATTATATTTGTCGACATAATAACATTATTATTTAAGCGTTTGGTAAATAATTTAGTTGTATACCCTTAAGAGTTTACTTTCTAAGTGAATATTATTAATAAAGGCTACATTTCATTTTTTCCAAAACTTTGCATGGTCCATCTCAGCCGGACGTGTCTGGGTGAGATGGGCCAGTAGCTTGGAAGAGATGGACCAGGGCTAAAAAATAGGATCAATGACTACAAACCAACTACAAAGTAAAAAATATGTATATTTTACATAATAATAAATGTTGTAACGTTCCAACGAACATTCATTGGACGTCAATCTATGACATGCCAACGAATATTAATTGGATGCACTAACAACGTTGGAGCGACAAATCGTTTCCTGTTGGGACCATTTTTTAACGCTATAACCCCTAATGTATCAATTGCAAAATTGCTACATTAGACGTTATGCGAAATACTCCCTGGCTAGCTCACTCAGGACGTGAATATGGCCTACTCTGGAGCAACACACACAAACAAGTAAAAAGAAGAAACAATACACAGTTAAATTAACACATGTTTAATAAAATATAAAAAAAAAACAGACAAATAAATGTTTAAATATAGTATTGAATTTAAATAAAAATTATTCAACTTCTTGCCATAGTATTACATTATATTAAAGAGCAATGTTTGTCACCAAATCCTAGGTTTTATCCTGGTCTTTTCTGCTATGGTTGTTAGCAAGCCATGTTGTTAGTTGTGGATTTTCTTGCCCCGGAGTCAACTCTCCTATCGGAATGATGGTGCCACTCTCAGGCCGGTTGGTCTTCTGGATGTTAAAAGAATTTGACCCGCACCTGAGAAATGTATCCCGGAGGTTGACTAAAATGAAGAAAAACACACCTTGCTTCAGAAAAAGGTGAAAACAAAATGAGAGACCTTGCTTGGGAGATGAAAAGGTGACCAATCAAATTTAACAAAATTTTATCATTATTCACCCAAGCAAGTCGAGAAACAATTCTTATTTATGTACTTATCATAGGCAAATAAGTAAAAGTGAGGATACATATATAATTTTTAAAGCAAATGGTAATTACTTTTTACAACTGAAATATTCTAATGTTAATTAAAAAAGTGAATTCGGAAAAATGACAAGATATATTTATTGAAAAGCTAGATAATTTAGAATTTAGAAACATTTCTATATAGAAATGGTAGTTTGTCAAAAGTTAATTATTATTAAAATCAAAAGATATTATTAAGGATTTAAAATTAGTATTTCTTCTTCTTCTTCTTCTTCGTCTAGCTATTCACGTCCACATCTGAACATAAGCCTCTTCAAGTCTTCCTTTCCATTGTTTTTTATTTTAAATTAGTATTTAAGACTATAAAAATATTCGTAAAACTTTTACATACTATATTAAAGAAACTATATATTTCTTATCGCTAGTTTTTTATATAAAATAAAAAAAACATAAGAAATATCCACAAAATATGTATCTACTTACATGTCATACCATAATGATAAATAATGAGCTTAGAATTTTCAAAGTTAAAATTATAAAAAGATTTTTATACAACAGGTAGAATCAAAAAATCGATAAAATATATCATACTCTTACCTCCTTAATCAGGAGACGACACAACAATTGGTTATTATACTTTTACAGAAGTCATTAAGAAAATCGACATTTTTAGAAAATAGAAGCCTTTATATCGACTTTTGTATCGAACGGGAAGGGAGAAATGTCAACAGCATTGAACTAAACAGAGAATAAATATGGCACCTCTCGTTCCAAAGTAACAGAAATAGAGATGAAAATAAAATTTACTCTTTAGAAACTTGAGTAAAAGAAAAAAATGATGATTATTAAGAAAATAGGAGAGGTAGATACTGAAATACTGTAGATATATATATAAAGGAGATAGATTTGAACACCAACTGGTTTTTATACCAAATACCAGTAAAAATGAAAAGAGAATAATGAATCAAGTAACGACATAATTCTGATACAATCTATATCCTAGAAAATATATAGAAAAATAAGAGATACAATGGAGTATATAGAAGAATATGAATTATGACAGAAGATATGGAAATTGGAGAATATAATTAACGAAATATATTAACATAAGAAAGAAAGCAGGCAATGTAGCAGTTATAACGCTACAATGTTATTATATAACATACAATAGAATAGAATAGAATAGAATAACCAAATAAAAAAACAAACAAGTCTATTATTTTGCTTTCTGACTACAATCTTCCTATTAATGGAAAACTTCCCTTTTTGTGACATTATTTTCCTGGAACCGCAAAAGTCACATTTTACTTCAAATCTAGAGCAAACCTTCATGAAACCAACGAGAACACTGTACACACTTCACCCAGTCTTCTTTTTTTGTAGTTTCATTGTAAGACTCTACACATCCCACACATTCATCTTCATCCCATTCTTCTACTGACATACCGTCATCTTGGACTAGATCTGCAGAATCATAGCTTTCTGAGTCTGAACTTTCAAACTGTGTGACTTTGCCAGATGGTTTCTTTTTTGGCTTGAAAAACTTCTTTTTTGATTCAATTTTTTTTCTCAGTTGATCTTGTTTCTTTTTTTGTTTATCTTTCATTGCTTGCTCAACTGCCTTCCTTTTTACAACAGCAATGTTTTAAGCTGAATGTAATACTTTTGAAACGGTCATTAAACATCTCTTAACGGTTACTTTCTGTGTGAGAGAAGGGATGGTTGATATATGTTCTAGAAGTTTAGAAGAAGTCATTTTTGATGGTGTAAGGCTACTAGAAGTATTGGGTATATTGGCAAGATCAAATTGAGTTCTTGGTACTGCACAGAAGAATCAACAGTGTCACTGGTTGGCACACTAGTTACAGAATTGATGTGTTGGCCGATAAGTTCTGCATTGGAGTCAACAGGATCAACCTCGCCGGTTAGTGCACTAACGAAAGCACTAACGTGCACTAACGTGTACTTTTCTAGTTTCCTTGTTGAATTTGTGAGGTAGTTTTAGCTCTTCAGCAAGTTCAAACGCCATGCTTCTCACTGAATCCCTGCAGGGAGTAAACCTATGAACTTGTAACTTTTTTATGTGGCCTACAATCTTTTGTTCATTTACTCTTCCTAAAATGGAGGAAAGCCCTAAGCTGTCCTTCGTAAACTTTTGTTTTTTAATCCTTTTTTAAGAGTGGTCTTGGAAATTTCATAAGCTTTAGCAGTAGCATTGACACTCATTTCTTTATTTCTGAAAAGGGAAAATCTCAGAAAGACTAAAAAGATATATGTTTCTTTTTTGTTGACTAACTTTCCGATGTTATCCTTTTCTGTTTCGAAACTTCTTTTAGTATGAATAAGCAGATCCTACTACATACTTTGAAAAATCTTCTATAGATTTGGCTTCCCTGATTTTTCATATTTTTAACTATTAGGATTATTGATCAATCTTTATATGAGACTCTATAGTTAGTGTAAAATATAAAGTAAAACATATGTATATGCACATGTACATGTAGATCTACATTCATTTATTTTAACTTTTAGTAATCTTGAAAATGATGATACAGTGTTAATTGCGGATTTCGACTTAAGTCTACAACGACTCATCGACAAGACCAACTCGACCTGTGAGCAATTTGGTATGAAAATAAACATTAAAAAAGCCAAAGTGATGTCAATCCGAAAAAACCAAAACGTACCTCAACCATACATAATAAATGGGCACATTTTAGAACAGGCCAATAGATTTAAGTACCTGGGATGTTGGATCGATAGCAGCCTCAATCCTGATCTAGAAATAAGATCGAGAATAGAACAGGGCAGAAAATCTTACGAAAAAATAAAAAAACTGCTTTGTGATTCTCGAATAAAACTCGAAATTCGACTAAGTTTATCAAAATGCTACGTCTGGTCGACTCTTCTATATGCAGTTGAAACGTGGACCCTTAAAACATCAACCGTAAATAAATTGGAGGCCTTTGAAATGTGGATCTACCGGAGATTACTTAAAATTTCATGGACATCGCATACCTCAAATGAAGAAGTGCTGCATAGAATAGGCAAGGAAAGAGAACTTTTTAACACAGTAAAAGTTAGAAAAACATCATACCTAGGCCACATACTGAGAAATAGTAAGTACCAATATGCCCAACTTATAGTGAAAGGAAAAATCGAGGGAAAGAGGGGCCTAGGAAGGAAAAGACTATCGTGGCTCAGAAACATCCGACAATGGACAGGGCTAAATTTTGAACAGCTAATGAGAACAGCTGAAGATAGAAAAGAGTTTAAAATTGTAGTAGCCAACCTCAATTGAGGAGGAATCTTGAAAACCTAATGACAAAAGATTAAATAAAGAAACTATAATTTTACCACTGATGGTAATTTCCATTAAATATTAAATACAAAATAAAACTCCACAAGGAACTTCAAAACAGTAATAAAATTTTCTATGCCAAATAATTGAGCAAAACCTCTTTTTGCGCGTATGGAATGCAAATCAATGAATTTCATTCTATGTTTCATGAGAATGAGCAAGTTAAAAATCTAGTATTTTTATTAAACAAAACTTAGTTTTTAATGGGAGAAATATATAAAAATTGCTTTTAAAAACACTGTTTTATAAAACCTGAATGGAGTAGCATTTTCCTTGGCTCAAGAAAAAATAAAATCGTTCTTCTACACAAGTCATCTCTTATTCAGAAAGGGAGCGAGTAGATAGAAAAAAATCCTGCACAAAGGAAAATGTTCCGAGACGGTAAATCAAGCTGGAAATGTGCGTACACGTATTTCTGTTGGCCGGAGGCAGTTGGCTATGGGCCCCGAATGCGCACGCGCATTCCGTATTGACCGCTGCCCCGGGGGCGTCGTAGCGGCCTCCACTTCAACGGCAGCGGCACCCTACGTCTCCCTGCCAACCCCAAAACTTCCCCTTTGGAGAAATCTCTACCAACAGTTTATTACTGACTGAGACACCTAACACACATGCATGGATAAATAATTCCTGCTGTAGCTCTGTCTCCCTTACTCACGGGCACGGGCGGATCTAAAAAAATTTTAAAAGGAGTAAGGAATAAATATTTATATACACCACACATGAGGTAAAAATACATCAGCATCAATTGCATTTGCTAAAGAAACATCAAATTTAGAAATAATAAATAACTAGTGTTCATTTTTCTCATTAGTGTTATAAATGACATCTACCTAGATGACAGATGACTTTTTTCTGTGTGTATATTTGTTTGATGCTACACAACAAATTATTTTCTGGCTATTCAATCTGAGGTCTTAATTCTAAGTTGGGGTGGAGATTCTCATCGATCTAGCTGCCCAGATATTTGAACTTAGAACCTTGAGTTATTTATATTCCATATATATTTACGAGTAAAGATTAATTCGATGTTAATTTTTAATTTTAATAGATCTCTTTCAGCTGATATTTTTTTATTTTTTAAGAAAACATCGAAAGCCCTCTAAATTGTCCAGTGGCGGATCCAAGGGGGGTGTCACGGGGGTCATGACAATTAATAAATTAAATTTAATATTAATAGATTAAAATTAAATATCAATCCCCCCCCCCCAAATTAAATATTAATCAAATAATCCTAAAAAAAAATCATTTAACAGTAATAGGTACCTCGACTAATGCTACTCCGAGTTCCGTGAGTTCAGAGTTACGCGATTTTCAAATTTTGTCAATTCGTCATTTGAGTGCCAAAGAATCGTTTGATTATCGATGAGATAGAATTACCGACCACACATTACTGCTCATTCAATGTCCACGACATTTCGCACGAAATCAGCACATTTTTATTTTGTATTAGGTATTTCTTTATTTTTAGTTTTGTCTACGAATTGGTTGTTTGTAATTTGAATATGTATCATAACTATTGAGACTGTGTTCAATATTTTATAATTTATCTATAATAAATATCAAAGTGAATATTGTTGTTGAATTAGCTCTGTCTGATACGTTAGTGAATACAAATAAATGAACTGGGGACTGCTGTCCTAGGTTGGTTTGAAAGGCATGAAGATTATCAGGGCGAATCAATCATCAAAATATACAACGCTTTCGAAACAATTTCTACGTGGAAAAACATTTAAATGTCCGTATAATCGACAATCGACAAATTTTCAACAATCGACCGAATAGAACAGAACAACTTAAAACGAGATCCTACAGCAAACACAAGGAGTAATACGAGGAAAATGACAATACCATACATAAAAGGATTATCAGAAAAACTTAAAAGGATAGAAAATAAATTAAGCATTTCAGCAACATTCAAAACAACAAACACATTAAGATCTATTTTGTCTAATACCCAACCTAACAATGAACAAGAAAGGACAAAGAGGTAAAAGAAATAATAAATAAGACTTACTCACAATCAGTTTAACTTAACTGTCTAGACGACCGGTTTCGCTTTCTACAATATGCAAATTGCAAAGCATCTTCAGGTCTCGATACAAAGTTAATTAAATGCTGAAATAAAAAAACCCATGTTAGGGTGTTGTCTTATAAAGATAAGCAAAGATAAATGATATAAATTACAGTAATTATGCCAATATTACATGTGGTTTTTCAAAATGAATAAACTGTTTAAGCAGACAAGGTAAGGCCCACAAATTGGTATAAAATAGTCTATTGAATTGTAATAAATTAATAAATAAATAAAACATTACTTACTCTATTATATTACTCTATTAATTAATGGTTGGAAGAACATGGTTCAAACTATCATGTATTGCTGAAATTGGAATTGTTTGACAATAAATAGGGAAGTTCTTGAGGAGATAGATTTTATCCAATGAAGTAGGAATAGGTGTAATGTGATTGTTTGTTAGATGAGAGTGATGTTCTATTTATTAAATTATTTATAAAAGTTATTTATATTTATTCAAGAGATATATTTATGAAATGTGTTATTTATTGAGATTTTATGTAGGTGACAGTTGTATGACAATGAATGAAATTAGATGTACAATTGCGTGGGTGTGCAAATTCCTTTAACTTGTAATTATTAAATTTCTTTGATAAAGTTCTATTACTAACGAAACAGACATTAAATTTAAAAAGGAGGACTTAAAAGCACTACATCTCTGACTTGGAGACAATGAGTT